TCAGATCCGCAAATACACTATGGAAAAAATCGAGATAAAATCAAAACTTCCAAATAAAAGTTTGTAGAACAGAAATTTACACACGCACGCACGCAAATATTATATACTTTGACGAAATCCCCGTCCAAACTGAGGGTGAAAAGTAGAATGACAATAAATGAATTGAATTTTCTGGAGAATTCTGTCGTCTGCCTGTTCGTTAGTCCGGTTGACTGATTGGCTGGGTGGCCGTCTGTCCTGTCAGAAATTTATTGGTAAGATGTCTGTTATAGGGCTCTATTAGATCTGGAATCCTATTTAAGAAAGACAATTTGATAGAATAGGCTGGCTTTCAGCAATTTTAACTCTAAATTTACTGTATAGAGATACCGAAAATTTTCATATAACCAATTTTGATTATATTGGTGAATCCTACAAAAAACTCAGATTTTTTTACTATAGTGGTTTGAGAAATGTGAACATTTTTGAATTTTGGCATATTTCCTAAACTACTGAAAATATAATTGTTTGTTATAATACTGTTTGTATTTTCCATTATTTTCACCACTGTGTTGTGAATCCAATGCATAGACATCTTGTGTTCTGATAAAAAAGACAGTTGTTGAATAGTTGTTTGCATTGTTAGATGATGAAGATAATAAAATAGATAAATACTATTCGTTTTCCAAGTTGGTTCTTCCAGCAGGGTACTAAATAAAGAAATAAATTGAAGTACAATATATACTTCTTCGAGATAGGATACTAAATGAAAAATTGCAGGTAAAGTGAGTAAAATATATTGCCTTCCTCGTCATTGCAGAATCAGCACTTTAGGTACCGATATGGAAACAGACAAAATCCGATATATATACAGGGTGTCCCTGGACTTCCTCTTTTCCTCTCGTGAATGTATAGATGGGGTCAAAATATCACCAGTACTTCATATAACTTTTTTTCCTAAAAGTCTTCGTAACCAAGTTACGGGCCCTCGAAGTTACAAAATGAAAAATGTTTTTCTTTGATAACTTTTCAAGTGAATATTCAAAATCANGCTTTCAGCAATTTTAACTCTAAATTTACTGTATAGAGATACCGAAAATTTTCATATAACCAATTTTGATTATATTGGTGAATCCTACAAAAAACTCAGATTTTTTTACTATAGTGGTTTGAGAAATGTGAACATTTTTGAATTTTGGCATATTTCCTAAACTACTGAAAATATAATTGTTTGTTATAATACTGTTTGTATTTTCTATTATTTTCACCATTGTGAATCCAATGCATAGACATCTTGTGTTCTGATAAACAAGACAGTTGTTGAATAGTTGTTTGCATTGTTAGATGATGAAGATAATAAAATAGATAAATACTATTCGTTTTCCAAGTTGGTTCTTCCAGCAGGGTACTAAATAAAGAAATAAATTGAAGTACAATATATACTTCTTCGAGATAGGATACTAAATGAAAAATTGCAGGTAAAGTGAGTAAAATATATTGCCTTCCTCGTCATTGCAGAATCAGCACTTTAGGTACCGATATGGAAATAGACAAAATCCGATTTCATCAGAAGAAGCAAGCAACAGAAAATCCTAAAGATTAAATAAGATGTCCATTCCGAAGGTGACGTTTTTAGAAATGACCCGATAGAATACATCAATCAAGTAGATTGAGAAAAGGTGTCTTTCGAAGCCTGCTCGCCTCGAAATGGTAACCTCTGGAATTGACCTGCCGGATACCAACAATTGAAACGTCATACACACCTGAGAATGATGAATGCAAAGAAATTCATTTAGACGAAGAAGAATCGTGGGATCTTGATGGAAACGGAGGTACGAGTTTTCTCATGACGCTAGCTCACGAAATTGGGCATGTACTTGGATTGGGGCATAGTACCCAAGAAATTTCCATTATGTTTCCTTGGTATCAACAAAAAACAATTCAATTAGGAAGAGATGACGAATATGCAATTGAATCTTTATATGGTAGACGTAATACCACCACAGTAAAAACAACTCAGCGTTCTACTTCAAGAAAAAAAACTTCAACGACAAATAACCCCCAAATAACGAAGAAAACATCAACGACAAATACTCCCCAAATAACGAAGAAAACATCAACGACAAATACCCTCCAAATAACGAAGAAAACATCAACGACAAATACTCCCTAAATGACAAAGAAAACATCCTAGACCCCTGAGACTGAAATAAAAAACCTGTGCAATGTGAAAATCCCCGATTTTATGTTTTTGGCAAAAGCTCCAGAATTTCAAAATCACAGAATATATGTAGGTTACAACAAATATTTATGGAAGCTGGATTTGAGTGAGATGTTGATACCAGCGAAACCAGAGAAAATTGCTGATTATATGAGTGAGAACGTTTCTGTTAACCAAATTTTTCAAAATTTCCGAGCCTAGAAATCAAAGAAAATCATCCAATTCGAGTAACATTCGATATAAATGTGATATTCCAAACTAATAGTGTAAAAGGTTACATACTGTATGAAAATAAATGATACGTGGAATTTTTTGAAACACCTGGTGTAATAACAACCAGAGGACGGATTTCCGATATATTTCCGGGAATTCCAGGAGATATCACAGGTGCTTTTCGATACATTGATGGACACATGTATTTTTTCAGAAAGTACACCTATTATAAATACAATGAATTCACTCGAAAAATAAGTGAAGCTGGACAATTCAATTGGAATTTATTCGGTGTTCCATGCCCTGCAGAAGGACTTTTGCACCAGCTAAAAGAACTCCTGAAGAAAATTACATCTATTTATCAATAATGACTATTTCGCAATAATGTAATCAATAAATACTTATGCAATAACTCATCCAAACCGCTTCAATACCCAGCTTAACAATCTGAAAATCATTTGAAAAAATCTCTACTCCCAGGTTACGAGCATTATCGCATTTAGGTAGTGCCTCATTGTTATGTCACATTTCAAATTGTAAATAGGTAAATATTCAAATTCTTTTTTCTATTTCGAATC